CCTTGGATGCGCTGCCCCACCTAGCGCCGAGGCACAGGCACCTTCCAAGAGCACGGCCCTGCTGAGGGGTGTGGGGTGCGGGCAGGACGCCCTCCCGGCAGCCCGCCCGCCCCCTCCCTGGTGGCAGCCCAAGAGCCTGGCCAGCGCCCAGCCCGGGACGCTCGGCCCCTGGCATTTTGAAAAGCGTGCCGGGGCTGTCGGTTGGCGCTACTTCCATTGTGTCGAGGTGGCCTCCGTGAAAACCAGAGTGGGTGCTATTTGAGCAGGAGGAAGTGTTGAGAAGTTGCCAGAGGGCGACACGCTGAGAAACCTTCATGAGGGGCTTTCCGGGTGTGTGTTCCCAGAAGGGCGGGCGGGCGGGCGGGAGGAGCAGGGGCGGGGGCTGCTGACCTCGGGCGCCCTCTGCCCGGTGGCGTCTCTGCGTTACTGGCCAAGCGGCCACAAGTGGCCGGCGCTGTTCCGCCTGGAAACCTTTGAGAATGGAGGGATAAGGGGGATGTGGTCTTGCCCGTCCCCCCCGCAAGCCCCCTGTAGGGTGGGTGCCCCCGGCTGGCCTCGGTGCGCGAGGGTCCGTCCCCCCTCCCCCCCCGCAGAGGGCTCCTGCGCCCTCCGTCTCCCAGCTGTCACCCAGGCTCCCCTCCGGGCTGCTCTCCGGGCTCACACCAGCCTCCCAGGCGAGAACCAGGGAGCGCAAGTCTTCCTTCCGAGCCCACGCCGCTCCCGTCGGGACGACATCAGGGTCACAGCCCTGGAAACGCGTCTCTTCTGGTAGTTCGAGGGAAAAACCGGTACAAGGAGAAAACCCGAGACGCTCATTTGAGTCACTGCTGGAATATGAATCTTCATTATCCAGGAGGAAATGGGTCGGCTGGCCAGACCCACGGGCGGCCCTTTGTAGCTCTCACCCGTGCGTGGACGCGCTGGAGACCGGGGCCTCGCCCGGGGGCGGGGATGTGGCCTGGGCTCTGCATTCCGCAGGACGCCGTGTGAGCCGGGCCACCCAAGCATCTGCTGACAGATTGAACACGGACATTCCTGCCTCTGGCGTCCCCCCTTGCCCTGCTGGCGGGCACCTTCCCCGGAAGCCGCTTTCTCCCGGGCTCTCTGCGCTGTCGGTGCTTCTCCCGCAGTGACTGGCCGCGCCCCTCACTGGCTCACTGCAGGCCTGGAAAATGCTCAGATCCAGACCTGGGGACGGTGGTGATGCTTTTTAAAAGTCCTGCCTGAGGTCTGCTGCGCTGCAAGCACCAGTTCGCAAGAAGATGGATGCCCGTGTGTCCTCTCACTGAGGGGGGCTTCTGGGGGTGCTACTGTACCCCAGACGGTGAGTTGGCGGGACCCGGGCCACCCCACAATCTCCACTCACCTGGGTGCTGCGCTTGGCGCTATGGACTTGGCACTTCTCCCTCCGGGCACCCGGCTGCCGGCGCGGCAGAGGACAGCCTGGAAGCAGAGGCAGTGAGAGAAGCGTCGTCTCGGAACCTTCCATCCTGCTGCCGGGAGCCGGCGCAGGGGCAGAGGGCGCAGCCCTCAAGCAGAATTCGTGGATTTGGATGCCGGCCCGACCCTGGCCAGGCTCTCAGCCTCTCGTGGCCTGATGCCCGAGGACACTCGCCGGGGGAGGAGGAGGAGCGTGGTCCCTGGTGCTCAGGGCAGTGATGGAGGTTAAATAAGGGAACGGAAAAGCACGTAGCAGGGCCACGGAAGGTACCGGAGTGGAGACTGCCCCTGACTGTCACTCCTTCAAGGAGAGCAGGGTTTCACACCCCCTGGAAGGATTTGCTTCCAGTAAACAGCAGGAGTCATTCTCACTTTCTCAGCACAGTCGCTGGGCCCTGCGGTGCGGCCTGGTCACCCGTCCCCAGCCTGGTGGTGCATCTGCCCAGGACGCGGGCTTGGGACAGCCAGGGAGAGAGGACTCACACCTGGAATCCATTTCCCACGTGTTCCAACCCGGTTTTCTGCCATGAAGCCTTGAAAAACTCGCCCTGGAGATGCACCGAGCGGCTGGGGCTGCGGTGACCCTGTGGCCAGAGGACAGAGTGGAGGAGGACACGGCTGTCCAGTGCATCTGGGGCAGCAGATTTGCACCCGCTCACCCGTGGACCCTACATGGGCCGCAGATCTGCTGGGCTCCACCCTCTGTCGCCTCCCGCCATCCTGGCCGGCCGGGTCCAGTGCAGACCTCAGCATGCGGTCACTGCCCGGCCGCCTTCTCAGCCGCCTCTCCTGGGCGCCCGACTCCAGCCTCGGACTGTTTATCATCTTGAGCAGCTGTAGGTGCCAGGCCCTGTGGGCACCTCCTGCCCGGGCGGTCGCTGCAGCCCCAGTCCCCGGGAGAAGGTGTGGCAGCTGCTTTTGGTCGCAGGAGCGGGGCTGCGGTCCAGGAGGCGCACATTCCCACCCGCCCCTGCTCCTTCCACACTGTCTGGAGCTCTGTGCCCTGTTCTTCCTCTTACGTATCCCTTAGGCTCTGTGCGGACTGTGGAACTGTGGGCACCTCTGGAGAGCGCTCGGAGCCCCACTACCCGCACCTACCCCTGTAGCTGTCCTTGGAGTCCTCAGCACAGGGACCCCTTACGCATTCCCTGGACCGTCCCAGCTGCTCGCACCAGGTGAAGCACAAGCTCCCAGGACGGTGCTGCCCTCACCTGCTCTCACCTGCCCTCACCATCCCCAAAGCACCTGGTGCAGCCCCATCCACTCTGCCACTGCAGAAACCTTTGGGTTTCCGCCTTCCTGGAGCAGGGGGCCCCCAGGGCAGCACGTGAGGACAGCCGGGCCGATGCCCAGGCACTCACCTCCCTCCTGCTCAGCTGAGGACGCAGCCCAGTCCCTGGCAGGGTGTCCACGTGTGCTGAGCACAGCCACCTCAGACAGCCCAGAGCTCTGCTGGGCACCTGCTGACCATCCCTCCTGGCGCCCTCGGGCATGACAGCTACTTGTGGAGCTCGGGTCCCGGACACCACCCACAGGGAGCCAGACCCCAACACGGCCCCCGGACCCGTGCTGTGGTCTCCCCGTGTCTGCTGACCAGGGTGGGGCTGGCTCCTGGAGGGAAGTGGTGCTTGGGCCCGAGTGCCTGCTTCCTGGAAAACCCACCTCTGTGATCACACACACCGGAGCAGCCCCCTAGCAGGAATGAAATCCTCCTGGCATAATTGGATACATTTCCGAAGCTAATTTTAATTGCTTCGAGAAACTGCTTAACGTTGTAGATCAATCCCCCAGTCCAAGATGACATTTCCCTCGCAAAATTAATTATTAATATAGCCTGATCATTTGCTTAAGACATTAATAGTTTTCATTGATCAGCACATCCTGTTTATCTGCAAGGCCTGGCCCCGTGCATGTCGGGAGACTGTCTGCGCACGTCCTGGCAGACGCCGCCTGCTCCCGCCGCGTCAGCGGGTCAGAAGCTAAGTGTCCCTTTTGTCTTCGCAGCATATTAAGTCGCCTTTAGCAGAGGCTGAGCTGCTTCAGAGACAGAGAGGCTGGTTCTCAACTGGCAGGGCGTGGCTTCCTCTGAGCCTCCTGGCCCGCACGGTCACCTGGGTGACTGGGGGTGACCAGGCAAGCTCACGGAAGAGCCCTGGTCAGCCCCGGCCGTGTGGCTGCGTGACCCTGGGCCTCACCGGTGCTTGTCCTCACGAGCAGGGGCCAGGAGATAAGCTCCAGGTCCTCGTCGGCTTTAAAATGGGGTCTCTCGTAGGCAGCCACCTGGTGTGAGTGGGGCGCTGTGCAGTTTCCAGAGGGATTCCACGTCTTCAGACCGGAGGTTTCCCTTGAAGCGACCTTGGCAAGGGGACAGGCTGCCGTGTGCGCCCCGGTGTTGAGAGCAGGCCGCTGCCGGGCCCCGGATTTCTTCCCTGTGAGACAGGCCAGGAGAGGCAGCGAGAGGAAGCAAGCCGCTCGTCCCACCAGCGGGACCCTGGCCGTGCAGGCTCAGGCCGCAGGCCGCTCCCTTCCTGGGGTGGGCGTGCTGACCACCCTTTCATGCCCCCGGGGGGCCTTGAGTGGAAGCCGCTGTCTCTCTCACTCGCCGGGCATCCGACAGTCAGAGTGGCTCCCTGGGTGCCAGTTCCGTGTCTGCGGGGCCCCGCGCAGTGGCTGCGCCAGGGGCCGCCCACAAGAGCCCGCTGCCCCCGCCAAGTGCAGACCTTGCGCGCTGACTGCAGCGGCTCGCTTGCTTCACGCGGTGTTTTATAAATAGTTCAGCTGATTTCCACTGTTGAAACTTGGGAGGTTTTCAAAATGCAATGCTATTTTCAATGTTTCTTTGAGGTGGCGGTTGCTCCTGCCTTCCCGGTCTGTGCCCAGGGGGTGCGGGGGACCTGAACCCCAGCTGCCCCTCAGCCCCGCCCTGTGTGCTGCGTGGGGGGTCTGCACCCTGCTTCTCCCGCAGCTGTCTGTCCTGGGCCAGCCGCCTGTGCCGGGGGACCCCTGGTTTCGGAATCCTGGCTCGTGGTCTTGCCTCACTCACCCCAGCTCTGGACTCGCCCAGATTAACCGGGCTCTCCGCTCCCCCAAGTCGGAGGGTTTCTCTGGGGGGCTCCAGAGCCCCGCATTCCTGTCAAATCTCTGAAATCAAAAGTGGAGCTTACGAAGAAACGTTTGACCTGCTAGGGGAGTTAGAATTGTCCAAGTCCTCCCCAGACTCGGGGGCCCCACTCAAGGCCGCATATGAACCGCTCTCTGCTGGGGCCAGCCCTCCCGCAGCGGCTGCGGCGCCTGGACTGGCAAGGACAGAAGAACGGGCTAGAGCAGGGCCCGGCAGGGGCCGTGTGGAAGAGTCCAGCCCCTGTCTCGGGGCCTGTGTGTCTTCTCGGGGACATGGGCCACCCGCTCCAGGGCCCCCTGAGTGCCCCGGGAAGGAAGGGGGGGTGTGCTCCCGCGCAGGCACCTCCCCTCGGCGAGTTTGTCTTCAGGTGACGCTAAACTTGCAGCCGCCCACGGGGAGTATTCCCAAGTCTCATTGGAATGTCTCTCCTTTCCCCCAGATTAAAGGTGGAGCCAACCGTAGAAGCAGCAGCAGCGATTCCACTCACTGGTTATTGGGCTTGAAACTCCCCGACCTGGGAAGCTGAAGATGCGGTTGCCATGGGAACTGCTGGTCCTGCAGTCTTTCGTGTCCTGCCTCGCAGGTACAGTGCCGCTTCCAACTTTCTCATTCAAAAATGCTGCCGCGCATCACACGCACTCAGGGGTGCTCCGGCCCCGGGTGGGGACAGCATGGTCTTGGGGCGCTCCCGCTGCACCTGCTTTGGATGTCCCGGGCGCTTGCCTTTGGTGGCCCCTCCGTGGCACGGTATCCAGAGCGGGTGCTCCACTGCCCGCCCGGCCCTCTCGGAGCCGTGTCAGCTCTGTGTCCCGGGAGTCTGTGGCCTCCTCTGGCCAGCGCTCGGGGCCACAGATCCCGGCAGTGACGCTGGTGCCGGCTGGAGCGTGGCCCTCTGGCGCCAAGGGCTGGAGCTTCCTGGGCCGCGTGCGTCTTTGCCGTGTCGCCCGCCTGCCCATGTGTGCCTCTGTGGTTCGTAGGAACCAGAAAGCGGAAGGACAGTTCTCACCAGCTCCTCATGGGCAGCCTTTGTGCCAGGGCTTTGAAGTGTCCCAAGGGCTGTTTACTGCTTTCCTAGTTCTCCGGAGCTGCGAGCTGCCTGTTGGTTGGTGGAACCCGGTGCTGGAGCTGCCCCAGCCCCACAGGGCCACAGTGGGCTCCAGGGTAGGAGGGCAGATGGCTCCGGGGTTTTCTGGAAATGTGTCTTGCTGACTTGCATTATTCAGGATGCCATGCCGAGGGCACACTTGAGTGTGTCTGCATTTTCACAACATACATAAAGAGTCTGGGGTCAGTGTTACTTAGAAACACACACGCATTCAGCTAATGCTGCCGAGCAGCCAGCTCCTGGGATCCAGTCCTGGGCAGGACAGCCCCAGCCCTCTCACAGCCCGAGGGCTGCATTCCACGGCGTGGCCCCAAAGCTTCTTCTGATGGCTCTTTTGCAGTCATGTCATTGGTGTTACCAGTGTTACAACATTACAGAAGCATCATGAAGTTCATTGGCTCACCCAAGGCCACCGGGCGGTAGAGCTAATGAGACTCAAGGTCAAGCAGACAAACTCCATACTCAGAGTTCTGAGCGCACTCGGCTGCTGGCGCTTAGTTGTCCTGCTGGTACAACTTTATCCTTGAAATGTTTCCACCCTTTCTGTGTTTTCCTAAATGCGAACCCACATCTGCGTATAAATCTCACCGTGCCTGAACCTCAAGTCCTGCACGTCTGCCTTAGTTGGGTCCCAGCATCCTCGCCATCCCCTGACCGTGGACCTTTTGGCATCTGACCATCTCCCTTCGAGGCGTTTCTGTTCTCCCTCCACTGGCCAGCACTCACGCCTCACACACAGAGACATGCACACACCTCACACAGCATACACACTGACACACCACACATCACGCTCACACACACACACAACCCCCAGGCTGTTTGGCTCCTGCCTTCTCTGCACCCCAATGGTCCCCCTGAAAGGCTTCAGCGGCCACGCCCCAGCTCCATCATCCCGTGACTTGGGGTGAATGTCGTCCTTAAGGCATAAAGTGGCGTTTGGTCACCGCCATGTATTGATTAATCCACTGTGCTGAGTAGGTATCAAGGAATTAAAGGGTTAAAAATAACGGAAGCCACAGCTCTCCTCCAGTGTGTTCTGGAAACTGACTTCTCACCTGGGATGTGTACCTGTGTCTTTTATCCACTTGGCTTTTGTAGGAAACATTGATTGCTTTTGTGAGCCTTTTCTGTGAGCTGCTTTACATGACATTAATATTCCCTTACCATATGCTCCTTTGGTGGAGGTAAGTCAAGCTTTAATTAATGTTTTTGTTTTCTTGCTATTTGTCTTGATTCCATTAATTTACATAGCACTCAGCACTCGGAATTTTGAACAGATTTCTTTAACTGCTCATTCTTTTTTGTTTCTATACTTCCTTAGTCCTACATGTCTTGGTGTGTTTTTGGCAAGGAAAATATTTATGTCTGTTCTGTTTACCATAATTAATGAATCTTGAATATGCCTTTGCTCGATCTTTTTCTCCAAGGAAGAGAGCGAGCTCGGCGTATGAGCAGGCGGGTCCTATCAGGGAAGCACCTTGAAAGTCTGTTCTTTGAGGCTTGGGTAGGACAAAGGAATCGCATTCCCTCTTGCCAAAGCGAGGTTCAGTCTCTGACAATAGTTAAAACAGAACAAAACCCCACTTACTACTGGTACTGTAGTCTGAAAATCCATCTCTGCAAAATTGGTTTATCATTTACCCTCTCGGTCAGTATAAACCAGGGGTCAACCCCCCCCCCACCCCCAGCTTGAAAGAGCAAGGAAATCAGCAAATAGGCGAAACCTTCTTAAAGCAGCAGCGACTCCTGCAGCCCACTAGGGAATGCTGATGACTGTGGAAAACTGCAGGAACCCTTCCCCCCTAACCCCCGCCAGTACCCCCCTACTTCCATGTGCCAGGGTCCTCTGTCTTCATAAATCTGCTAAGTTCTTTGACATCACCAACGAGTTCATATTATTTTAACAGATGAAAAAGGGCTGCATAAAGCAGACCAAAATGGCCTTTGCCCCACGCACAGGCCCTCGACCAGGGTTTGCAAAGTTAATTTCAAGCCTGTGAGTTTTCATTGCTGTGAGCCAGGTGCCAGGTCCAGTGGGCCATAGAATTCTGTGCCAGCTCTTGCCCTGAGGATGCCCATCCCCTCTAAGTCCATTATTGTCAGCTGAAGTGCCACCTTGGTGGTAAACTTCTGACCACAGTAAATGAGATGAATTAGCCGTGCTCCTTTTACCCACACTTTATATCCTGCTTCTTGCTACATCCCCCAGCGTCTTTATCAAGATGTGAGTAACTGTATATTTTGTCTTGGTGTAAATTAAAGGCTCCCCCTGGAATGAAACCTTATTGTGCCAGCCCAGCACGCCAGCCCCTTGTGCCAGGCATGGAGAGCACCGTGCACGTCTGCCAGCCATGACTCTGTGTGCGGCGAGTTCTTGCTGCATGAGGCCGGACATGAGCAGGCGGGCGGGCCTCTGCTGTCCAGCTGGACTTGCACTGGCCATGGCCACCGTGCGCTGGCAGCGGGTGGCCATTCTGGGCTAGTCCAGCCCAGAGGGTCTCGGTGGCGTTTCAACGCATGGAGTCTGCAGTAGGCCCCGGGCGGTCACGCACACTGGGCGAGGCCCCTGCCGGTTTCTGGCCCAGTTGTAGTGGGGCGCCTCCCCCGTCTCCATTTCTGCCTCCAGTCTTCCTCTAAAATTACATGCCAGGAGACCCCTGAGATGTCAGCAGGCCCTCCTTCGTGCGGGCCTCGTCGTGGGGGTGGGAGATGCCAGGGGGACCTCGTTGCTGCCCGTGCAGGAGGACGTTCTCGGGCCCATGGACACAGTTCCGTGGAGGGCCCAGCGAGGCGGGGACCGGGGGCGCAGGGCTCCTTCCACCTGTTCCTTCCTGACACCCGCTACCAAGGGCGTCTCCCAAAGGAGCTGTGTCCACCCCCTTCTCTCAGACTCTGCTGCCGAGGACCCCAACCGAAAACACGCCCCACAGGGTAGCCGGGGGCAGCTGGCAGCAGGAAAGCGGCCAGTGGGACACACGGCGCTGATAGGCGCCACCCAGGGGCTGCCCGTGATGTGGCCTGGAGCGCTCAGGTGTATCTGCAGGTACACGCAGGTGCACCTCACAGCTGCCGTGGTGGCTGCGACCATGGGCACTGCCTAGAGCTGCGGCCAGCCCCGCTGTTCACTCTCTTATTGTTAGCCAGAGGCTGGGCGAGACATCTCGCTTCTCTGGGTTCAGTTTCCACCTCTGCAGTGGGGGAGGTTGAGCAGATGGTCCCCCAAGTCCTTTTCAAATCTAAAAACGTATAGTTCTAGCTGTACACATCTTCGGAGGCATCTCTCTCTGCTGAGAGGGTGAGAGCGAAGCCTGAGATTTTATTCAACCAATATAAAATTTCACATACGTCCAACATCTTCCCATGTGTTGCTGATTCTGGGCGCGTTGGCAGAATTCAAAAGAAAGAATAGAATGGCGGGCCCATATGTTCCTGTGCGGCGAGAGGCGTGAACGCATTTAAACCCCTCCTTGAATGGATGATCTTGGTGAAAGAGTGCGCGCTGATGTATTCTCAGCTGATCTTGGTTTCAGGGAGGCTAAATTTATTCCCATCTCCATGGTTTACTTGGCCAACTTGAGCAATTATCTCTTTTTGAAAAAGCGCATCCTCTCCAAATGAGAGCGTTTTGTTGACTGGTTCACAGAATCGGTGCTGTGGCTCCAGCTGCATCTGGGGGAGCAGAGTAGGGGGTGGCAGAGAAGTTGAGAGCGACGTGTCCCGGGCTGGTGGTGCTGACCGGCGTGGGGTAGGAACGGGGGGTCACAGAACATCACAGGCATGAGCTCGAGTCTGCGACAGTGAAAACTGCAGCCCAGAGGCAGACGCCGGCAGCCAGCACCCGCCGCACGCTCGCGGGGTCGTCAGGGCTGTTCCCGGCTCCGGGGGTCTCACTGCAGAGACGGAGCAGCTGTCATGGCGCTGGCTGCTTCTTGCCTTGGAGAATGCAGGTCCAGCTGGGGCCCCAGGGCTGCCGGATGCTGGAGTGGAGCTCGGGGGGGCTCAGTCTTCCCACTGCACCTTAACATTCTAGCAAGGCTCAGGGCCAGCCCCGAAGCACCCTCCCTTCCTCCCAGTGCCCCCCAGCCCGGCCAGGAGGGGCCAGCCCAGAGAAGTCCGCTCCAGAGCACAGCCAGGACGGGAGTTCCGTTCCCAAGACACTCATGTGTTCCCCTGAATAAATAGAAGAGTAAACAGAAGAATAAGCAACATTCAAATAGCTCACAGTTCCAGACACACATTAAACCGAGTACCGCCGCTGTTCTTCCAGGAGTGACAAGTATTCAAGTAAGATCAAGAGAGGATCGGGCACACGTCAGTTTCCACACAGGTACCGCAAAGCACAGTCCTGGAGGGACCCCCGTGCGGCCCTTCCTCCGTCCAGGAGGCGGGCTCGCCGGCGCGTGTCAGACACCATGACCGACGCCGAAGAATGGATTTCCCATTTCCGCTGCGATGTCCCTCCGCCTTGGCCATGGAAT